AGTATGAAGCAAAGTGATAATAACAACATTGGTAAAGTCAGAGACTCAAAGAATCACAATTCATATAAATAAAATAATGACATTTAGAGGAAGGGTACACATCAAAATAAGTGAGAATGGAAAATATTAGGACGGTAATGAAAAGTTACTATCAGATAATTCAGCCACGATGCTCTCGAAATCATCACTATCTGAACCTGCAAAATCTAACCAACTATTTCCTATCACCTTCATCAATTCATTTTATTTTAAGCCAAAGACCAACAATGCATTTACTTGAAACATCTTTTTCGTTTTTCTCCTGCGTATATCTCAAATTTGCTAGATATTTCAAGTAAATATGCTGGCTGGTTTCCTTTGCAATATTAGTAGGTTGAAGGGGATACTGGAACAGACACAAGGTAGTGAGTGATACTAGATTGACGACAAGGATTTTGAAGGCTTAGAAATGAGCAATTTTATATTGTGTACTTGCAATACTGACAGTGAACAACAAACGAATAACTCAGTCAAATAAATAAGTGAAGTGAATTTTCTTTTGGTTAAAGAAACCATTACAAACTATGGGTATTACTAACTTGAAAGTGAAAATGCCTAATTACCATCAGAGCACAAACAAATTGGAAGTTTTATGACTCTGCACAATATTTTAAATATATTAAATCAACAAAAAAAGGTTAGTACCTTCTGAAAAAAAGACAGTCACGATTGACTAGTATTTTAAAGTAGCAAAATGTGTTACATACTAAAAGGTAACAAAGGTTTCTTAAAACTAATGAGAACAAATCTTATAATTTAATTGGGAACATAGAATGCGTTTAAAGGTTTCTGCGTTACCATAAGATAAATAAATCAGGCAAAGTACCACTAGAGGTACTTGACAAGATGTACACATGTACATGATTTACATGTACTTTACAAGAGACTTGCTTTTTCAACAAAAAAAATAAGTAAATAAATAAAACCTTGTAAAGAGATCTTTACAGGCACAACGGCGACTAATGGACTGCTGCTTCTATCAGAAATGGAAAACTCAACAATTAGTCTAACTGTTTCGACTTTAAGATTTGGAGTTTCTCTTCAAGAGCATTTAACTCTTCAATTCTTCCCCTTTTTTCAGATGAAAGCTTCTCAATTTCAGCTTTTCTTTTTTTACTTTGTAGAGAATTTTGGATTTGTGAATCAACCAAATTCTTTTGATTCTTTAAAGCTTTCAAATATTCACTGGAGGAATTTTTGTGATACATTATCATTGTTTTATTGATGTCAAAAGAAGTTAAATCTTCACACTTTACAGCGTCATATACTTGCCTTAGACCCACTAAAGATTTTTCAGTTAGGTTTTCAATAAGGCATTCCTTGTTCACAGAGAAACCCCTCTCAAGGGCAGCATTTCCATGGCCAAGTATCAAAATTGATTTAAAAAATGCACTTAAATCTTTTAATTTAGAGGAGGGGTTACATTTATCATAGGTCCCAATCATTTTTTTGATCCAGAAATGGTCGAGGCGCTCCTTACCTTCGCCTTTAAAGGATGATATAAGCTCTTCATACCTTGGGAAGGAACATAATCTACCAAATTCTCTTGTTAATGTGTCTGCCAATAAGGGTGAGATCCTCTTTTTGTCCATGAATTCATCAATACAAGTGTTAAATCTGTGATCTCGAGACGATATACTTTTACATACTGTGGGATCTAGGAACGAAATGCCCCTTGTTAATCTAAATTTTAGGGGGCTCTTTTCCACAATTTTTGTGCACGATGCAACTAGTGCTTTCTTGCATTCTTCTCTGAAAAGAAGGATGTCATTGTCTTTCACACTATTATTAGCCCTAATTTCAGCGAGAGCCCTTTTGGTCGACGGACTCAGTATAATTTTATTAGCTGCAAGGAGGTTTTCCTGTTTTTTCAGGTCAATTTTGGTTATAGAATCAGCTTCTTTAATCACTGATGGTTTTACAAATTTCATTAAAAGTTCTTGCAAGAGCCTGTGCAAGTGCCTATATAGGAACGGTGCTAATGGCCAATCTGACTGGAATCTAGTGAGGAATTCCTTAAACTCTGAGGAATAACTGAGGAAAAAACATAATTTTGGCTTTAGAAGAGGATCCTTAACAAATTGTTTGACACTTTTATAACTGTCACTGTCCGGCTCGTTTTTGTCATTTTCAACACCTTTTATAAAAGCTCTAATATGCGGTAAGGTTAGAATAGCCGTAGAGGCAACTTCCGTATTCTCTAGCCACCTTACAGAACAGTGCTTTTTGGGAAAAATTTCACTACCGGAATATTGGGTATACAGTCCTTTTCGGGTGGGCTTGTCTTTAAACAAATAATAAGAGTTAGAAAAATACGATGTCAGCTTCCAGTTTGTTGCCTTAATACCAACTTTAAAAGAATTGTTTAACACATGCAATCCACAGGTACCAATAAATAATAACATTTTGGCGAGAGGGTTCTTCTCTAAAATAAGATTTTCGAAATCTTTAAGAAATTTTATGTTTACATTAGGCCCATCCATTGAAACACTCATTACTTTCTCTAAATTCAATGACTCAATAACAGAAATTAGACCTTCTAATAAATCTATAGCTTTGGCTCCCTGAAGGAAGGCTGATGAATAGTAACTGGTTTTGACTTCATTGGTGTCAGCACACCAATATATAACATTTACATCCATCTGCCCTTTTTGGGCTACTTTATTTAGAGATTCATCGAAACCAATGGTAAACTCAGAACATTTTTGGAGAGTCTTTAGTAAATTATGATGAAAATAGGATGCCAAACCATATACTATTGAATAAGAAATTTTAGTTCTCTGCAGGTGTATTTGTTTTGCAATATTTGAATCCGGATACTTGATCGGATCAAGTGATACAATAGATCCCGCACTTCGATAAGATACATGGTTCTTAACAACGTTCAAACAAGTGAGTATTTCTGCTTTGGCTACAAGTTCTTTGGAAACATAAAGATTCATAGGTCCTATGGAACTAGTATTATTTGATGGGACAGAAACAGATGATGCCTCTTTTGATGTGACAGAAACAGATGATGCCTCTTTTGATGTGACAGAAACAGATGATGTTTCACCGGAACCCGTGCTAGAATCTCTGACAGTTTCTTTCGTGCTATAGGACACAGGTTTACAGTAATTTGACAATGAGTTTGACAGGGTTTGCGCACTAACTGCACTTACATGTCGTTTTCCTTTAGCATGACTTAACAATGCTTGCTTGCCCATATTGCTCAGGGAAATGGACGTGTTGCACAAGGAACATCTGGCGTTATGAACACTTGCTGTGTCTGCAACAGCCCAATACAGTGCAGGGTCTAAAGACCAGGATATTTGGTAGCGGGTGTGTTTCGGCTTCATGATTACTGCATTCTGAAAAAAGAAAAGATAATAAAGATAAAGACTACTGCTGGGTTGAGTTCAGTTCAAACAAGACTTCACCTGCCTTTTGATTTTTGCCCCCATCTCAAACGCTAAACAAGAGCTTGTGTTACAAAACTAAATAAAAGAGCGAATGCTGATGCTAGAACTGCTAGGGAGCTCTGATTTTTGATGGCGGAGAAAGGGAGAACATCAAACAGATTCTGTTGTGAATGAGGTCCGTAACTGAGAGAGTTCTGACTTTAAGTACTATGTATTATTGGCATATACAATGTCAATTCTTCACTATGCAACGATCTTTATTTGCTTGCACAACAATCAATGTCAAATGAAACTGAAAATTAGAGCCGTCTCCAGAGCCGATTCTACCGTTCCTGGTTGAAGTAAACCCCCTGTCAAAGCAAATCTTTGAATGCTTTTGTCCAAAATTTTAAGAGGTAAACATGGTTGTTTATGGCTTGAATGATACTTTCAGCTATGTTGGGACTAAAGTAATTATCCTTCAGTCAAACTTTAACCAGGTTAAAAAATAACGAAAGGTTGTAAATCCGATGCTCAGTCAGTAGAAGCTTCGATCACAATACTTAACAACTGAAAGAGAGAGTTACCATTTAATATTTGTTGTAATCTAGTCACATTGCTTACTCAACCAAAAGAGCGATGAAAATACAGAGATCTCCGCGGAGATAGATGAGACAAATCTATCAAAATATTCAAAATGCAGCTAGGTAGCAGATGAACTCAGTCATCGCTAATTAATGTGAAACTTCTTTCCTAACGGTTCACTCCGCTCGTGCCATCTCATAAATGATGATACTTAGAAGATGAAAATATTTCACTTACCAAAACTTGCTGCTTGAGTCCATTCTTCGTCGAAGCATTTAGACCGCGGTATGAGTGCGAGATCACGAGAGAAAAAAGTTGAGGTTATGTCACTAAGCACAACAGAACAGTCACAACCAAAACCATAGACGGTCCGCGCATAAGAATTTTTTTGGCGAGACGATAGGTAAGCAACCCGCATTGCACGTATTACCGAGAGAAATCATCAGCGGCAGAAACGACCAATCACATTTCACCAAGCGCCGCTCGCCGATAGCAGCGCCAGTAGCGGAAGTCAGGTGAAACAATCAACAAATAGTTCACTGGAAATGCGCTAGAGAGAGTCATCACAGCCGCACAGCAAACACGAACAACGTAAGCGGAATAAAGTTCCCTGACTTTCTGTCAAAATTCCCTGACATTCCCTGACTTTTCCAGGTCGTTACAAATTCCCTGACAATTCCCGGTTTTCCAGATTTTTGGCCACCCTGAATTTGCAATTTTTGTTGCGGCGAATTATTTTAATCCGGTGCAAAGATCCATTTCCAAAATTGTATTCTTTAAATTTACTCCAGGTCTTGAAAAGTATCCTTTGTATGATGCTGTGTTGAAAGTCTCCTCAAACCTCCCTCTGTCACCATGAGATCTATACGGGCCTTCCTTTGAGAAGAAGCTGTTGAAAGAGCGACTATGAATACGGTCCTTAGCTTCAATTTAACTTTTTTATGTGTATTATTTCTCTTTTTCCATGTTGTAATCTTGTTCACCTTAATTTTTCAGGTATATTGAAGGCCTCACAGCTGAAAATCGCAATGTAGGAACTTGGGAAAAACAACTGAGAATGTGTCAGGAAACTGTACCGCCTGCAGATGAATCAAGAATACCTGGTGCTTGGCTTCAAAACGGGGCAGGTAATCACGGCAGCGTTCTGAGTGCGCTGTGGGCTTTGAGAGATTTCATGAATAAAGATGCTTTGAACATCTCCAAAATCCTTTACAATTAGTTTATGCTGTGTGTTGTAGATATTCTCCATAAGTTCTTAAGATCTTCAATGTATTTTATTCTTTTTGTGACTCTAGATGTCATTTTAGCTTTTTTTACTTTTTAACTTTCTTACAATCAATTCTGTATTTATTATTTGACTTAGCACCATGTATTTAATATATATTGTTGTGGTTTTGAAAAGAAAAAACTTTACGCTATGTATAAGACAAAGAGTATTTATCAAACTCTGTAAGTATTTTCTAAAAAATGGGAGATATTTTTGTTGTACATATTCATCAATGGGTCAGTGACTGTAGTACTGAATCCTGTTTTGATGATGCCAGGTTTTAGATTTGATAGATCAGCTGAGATCAGCAAATAGGTAGGATTGCAGGTAGATCAGCAAATGCAATAATAAGATCTGTTCAAAAACCAAGTTTCCACTTTCATTTCAACCTAAAAAGGGTAGAAAGTGATCGTTGTGTATTTCGACACATTTGAATCACTAAATACAAAAAGGGCACAAGTCCAGAAAACCAAATTGTTCAGGAGACATAAAAAACTTTTCATTTCATGGTAGATATATTTTGGTAAGTTGTTATGTTTAAAATTGGATTCTATACAGCAGCCTGCGTATAATGATGGTTTGTTTATCTGAAAATATTAGTAACTAGCCTATTGGCAGCAATTTAAAAAGTTGGAAAAGTTGCAATTTTAAAAGTTGAAGGGACTTGTGCCCTTTTTGTATTTAACAGGCTAAGATGGCAGGCTTAAGCAGTTAATTACTAACATAAACCAATTTTTTTTTTACAAAATGCTTATTTTCAAGCTTCTAGCTGACAAGAGATACAAAATATCTTAAATGCTACTCTTCTTGCCTACCATAGACTCACTCTTTTCGAGTTTCACTAGTTTCCGTGATTATCAAAAAAATGTCTGCCCAGAACTTTTTAAATTCAGAGGGGACGTAAGGTTCCAGATCTGCCATCTTCTTATCAACAATGGGAACAGCCCCTGTGTAGAAGTATTTTGTGGGTAAACGAAGTGGCATTACATTTGATTTTCTCAGTTTGAATGTCGAAGTCGCACAAGACCCGAAATACACTGAGAAACCTTTAAGACCACGACGTTCTCAGTCGTGCATTCAAATTGATGAAAGGTGGAAATTATAAATGTACTAGCTGCTCCAGGCGCCCTCCACAGCTAGCAATGGTGGTGCAGTAGCTTAATTGGAATCGGAGCAATTAGTTGAATCTATTTAATAAATGAATAAAATGTCTGTAACAGTACGTGTTGTTAGCAATACGCAATACTGCAGTTAATAAGTCAGGGTCAGTCAAGCTGCAGAGAATAAGATGCCAGGATATCAAGAAGCTGTGAAGCGGAGCAGCCGAGGGATTGTGAAGGAATGTGGGTGGCAGGTGATGAAGGACAATGCGACCCAAACCTCCTTCTTTGAGGTCGGCGGGAGGAGAGCTATACGAAAGAAAACCGAGATAGCCGAAAGAACGTGGTGGGAGGGGTGGCTGAGACCATAGAGGGGGGGCAAGCAGGTAGCGGCCGGACGACCGCTCGAAACAGCTGAACTTTACTCGTCGATAAAAGCAAGAAAATTTCAGAAAATCGAAAAACAATTACAGCCTGCAAATCTACAGATCAAAAGCTTTCATTTAAAAAAAAAAACCATGCAAATCGGTCCGGTGGTTCTCTCAAAGATAACGTCCAAAGATTCGGACCTCCGTTTTAATACATTGGAGAAAATTTGAGAAAATTATAGGAGAAAATCTGAAAAAATCGAAAAACAATTTACAGCCTGCAAATCTACAGCTCAGGGGCTTTCATTTAAAAAAAAGATCAGGCAAATCGGTCCGGTGGTTCTCTCAAAGTTAACGCCCAAAGATTCGGAACTTTGCATTTTAATATATAGGATCCACCACTGGTCTAGCTAAATGCTTACCACTCTGGTTTCTTGGGATTTGACCTGCTTAAAATAGTATTCTTTGAACCATCCTTGGAAGTCAAACATTATGGCCTGGTCAACTAAAAAAACTCAATGTTTCTCAACAATTTTTGATGCCTTGAGAATTAAATCAACGTATTGGTCAATAGTATACAGTCTTTCTGTTCTCTTGAGCTTACGTTTTATAAGCCCAAATGCCCAGTCGCAAGGGAGTTACCTACGAATGCCCACGTTGAGGAAAGAATAATTTTAGCGTCTTAATTTTCTCTGTTTCAACCAAGGACATTAAAGCACGTATGAGAGCATGGTTTTTGTTTTGATCCCCGCAATTATCACAAAATATATGCAATTCATCAACTTCTTCCATATCAGCACTAGTAAAGTGTTCAATATAGAGGATAACAAAAAATATCACATCATCTGGGGTCTTCCGGGCAGTTGTTTCCTGGTAAACATACAATAATGGTGTCGTCTCTTAAATCATGAATTCCAAAAGTGTCAACAGAGAGCTGACGATAACAGTATAAGTCTCTTGTATTGGAAAACACGTGGTAGAATCGGATTCCGAAAGTTATAGATTACGTTTCCACACCAGCTGATCCGCGCACAAAGATTCAAAAAGGGCACATGTCCCGGAAATGTGCCCTTTTCGAATTTAGTGATTTTTCGCAGCTGTTTTTAACGTATTTAAACGCTGCGGATAAGTACCTTTTTTTGACACAAGATGCGTCTATCGATGAGGAATAAGAATCCGCTCCTAACTCAATTTCGCCAAAAATTGGACTTGTGCCCTTTTAATATTTTGTGATTCATTTAGTTTCAAAATGACCTCCGTTTTCATGCATCACCTTTGCACCCTCTAGTTTTCTGGAAAAGTTAATGTCCATGGGAAAATAGACTTTTCAGCGTTTCCCATGTTTTTGCCCAAACTTTCCTCCGCTGTTTTCAGGATGCACATGAAAATTTATTGGGCTTGTCAAAGTATTAATTTCTATGCACTTTGATGGGCCAAAGTCGACTATGACAACCATTTTTTCCTATTACCTCTAAATTATCTGGAAGAGGCGATTTTCTCAGCAAAAAGAGCCAAGCTTCAACCTTTTTCGTAGTGAAGAAGAAAAGAGCTGTTTTTGGCAGTCTTTGATTGGTATTTTTATGTGTATTTGCAGTGGTTGAATCCGATTAGAATTGCTGTCTTTTTCCCATTACTCAAGTTTAGGAAACCCCCTTTACAACACATACATTTGTAAGAGCCGCTCTCTGGCGCTCTGCGACGCCTGAGCACCCCCTAGTCTAACTCAGGGTTAAATACTCACGGTGTGGTTTAAAACTTTTAAATAACTTATGAATACAACCCGCGGTTCTTTTGCAGAATCTTGTTTTAGGTGGTTTATAGAATGAGGGAAAACAAATCGCAAAATCTGGGATGGAGCCGTTTTTTTTTTTAAACGAAGTTTTGGTTATTTACGGGCAAAATGAGGAAAAAAATGAGATAAACTGTTACGAGAGCCTTAAGAATATGCACCCAACACATTTCCATGTATTTAATATGTTTTTTATATGGAAGTGGTATATAGAGTGGGCTGGGGGTCAACTTAACCCCCCCCCCTCACCCCCTTGGACAAAAATTGCATGTTAAAATGGTCATTTTCCTTTTTCCCTGAATTTTTGGTCGGCAACTCTCCTTTCCAGTCCTTGGAGTAATAAGAAGGAACACCTCCCCCCCCCCCCCGAGACGATTAATAATATATTTAAATTGCTGTAATAAAAATAAAGTAATTTTTTATTTCAAACGTTATTTTTCAATTCACCTATACAGGGTGTTTCAGACCACCCGTACCAGGCCTTTCTCTCGGTTGTTTTAGGTCGTACGAAGTCGGGGACCGCGGGGTTGAATAGGGAATCGACCCCAAGAAATCCAAATTTCGTGGTCCCGAAACCCCCTCATTCCCCCTTGGGGGGTAAAGGGGGGGGGTCACGATGCTAAAAGTCACGGTTCCTGACCGAATTGCGGATTAATCGCATCAGAATTGAAAAGCACGGAAAATTTCACGTGAAATTGACCCCTAAAAATCCGTAATTGGCCCATCCAAGGCCTATAAATGACCCCCTAAAGAGGGAGACAGTATCCCCTCCATAATTTCTATTTGGTCTCAAAATTGACGTAGATTCTCCAGAAAAAGATGGTTTCCCAGGTAATCGACCCCGAGAAATCCAAATTTCACTGTCCCGAATCTCCTCTAGCCCCCCTTGGGGGGTAAACGGGGGGTTTAATTTTAAAAATCGGGGCTCCTTTCCGAATCGCAAATTGATTGCATCCAAATTGAGGAGCAGAACACTTTTACATCTTTAGTGACCCCCAAGAGTTTTAATTGACCCCCCTGAACGGCAGAAAGTAACCCCTGAGGAGGGGGCTTCGCCCCCTCCAATTGTTTCTCAAGATTCCTCTTTGGTTACAAAATTGACGTCGATTCTCCAGAAAAAGACGGTTTTCCAGGTAATCGACCCTGAGGACTCTGAATTTCATGGTCCCTAAGCTCCGCTACCCGCCCTTGTGGGCAGAAACCGTCTTTTTCTGGAGAATCGACGTCAATTTTGTAACCAAAGAGGAATCTTGAGAAACTATTGGAGGGGGCGAAGCCCCCCTCCTCAGGGGTTACTTTCTGCCGTTCAGGGGGGTCAATTAAAACTCTTGGGGGTCACTAAAGATGTAAAAGTGTTCTGCTCCTCAATTTGGATGCAATCAATTTGCGATTCGGAAAGGAGCCCCGATTTTTAAAATTAAACCCCCCGTTTACCCCCCAAGGGGGGCTAGAGGAGATTCGGGACAGTGAAATTTGGATTTCTCGGGGTCGATTACCTGGGAAACCTTTTTTTTCTGGAGAATCTACGTCAATTTTGAGACCAAATAGAAATTATGGAGGGGATACTGTCTCCCTCTTTAGGGGGTCATTTACAGGCCTTGGATGGGCCAATTACGGATTTTTAGGGGTCAATTTCACTTGAAATTTTCCGTGCTTTTCAATTCTGATGCGATTAATCCGCAATTCGGTCGGGAACCGTGACTTTTAGCATCGTGACCCCCCCCTTTACCCCCCAAGGGGGAATGAGGGGGTTTCGGGACCACGAAATTTGGATTTCTTGGGGTCGATTCCCTATTCAACCCCGCGGTCCCCGACTTCGTACGACCTAAAACAACCGAGAAAAAGGCCTGGTACGGGTGGTCTGAAACACCCTGTATGTATGTACACTGTTTTTACTGATTTGGCTATTGTATGTTTATGTATATGAGGCGCACACTAGGCAGTATTTGTAGCATTAGGCACTTAAAATCATCCCCTGTCCCTCATCAGACAGCCGCAAATCAGCTAAAAGAGAGTTACATAAAAAATAAAAAAAAAAAACATTTTTTTTAACCTTCCCCAATTCTAAATACATTAAAAAAAAAACAAATATTTTGCCCTGCAGTAACAATTTCCTTCTGCACATTTGCTACATAATATTTAATACTACATCGTTATTGATTAATTCTTCTTTTGTATTTTCATTACTTATCTTTATTTTTTTTCTCTTCTTACTAATACTCCTACATAACTCGCTTGAAGTGCCCCCCTCTCACGATGACTCTTCCCTTTTGCTCCAACTCAAAGCTGACTTAAGAAATTAACATCTGTAAACATGTCTGGCTATAATTTCAACTATGTAGACAAAGTAGGTATGATAGGGATGAATGCACAGGAAGTTCAATCTGTAGATGAAATAAAAATTCTCGTCGAATCAGCAAATTTAAAATCTGATTGTTTCAACATTCTTTGCTTGAATGTAAGAAGTATCAACTGTAACTTTGATCAATTCATCAAAATAACCGAGGAATTACCAGAAAAAATTGACATTTTAATCTTTAGTGAAGCCTGGCTGTTCAAGAATAATTTTTCAGAAAATGCATTTAAAATCAAAGGTTTTCACAAGTTTTTCATAATGAATAATGAAAATCAAAATAATGGTGTAGCTGTCCTCACAGGCGAAACACATGATTGTGAAACAAATGAACTAACCCAAATGCGAACGGGTACCGGTTGCGAGATTAAGGTAAAAATCGATAACACTTGTCTCACGGTATTCGCATTCTATCGCCCTCCTGAGCTTCCCATGTGGGACTTTGAAAAAACTCCATCATTTTTGGGTGTCCTAGACCATGCCCTTCAATAGGTACCCGAAAAGATAAGGAGATTTCATTCTTGGCCTAGTTTCAATGGCAAATGGAACAACTTCATTGCCTGTGAATCGGTTTTTTCCGTCTCAAAGCACAGAGGCAGTGCCTTCCCTCGTCAAAAGGGGTCGTCATAAAACAACATAAATTGACATATTTTCTATTAATTCAGCCGTCGTAGGGTTTATTCAGAGACAATGAGACACGGACCTCTTGGCAACGGGTGGAAACTTTTAGGTACCTACTCTCGGGGATTCTACACCTACTTGTGGGCAATTAAATGGAGTAACAGTCATCACCCGCTTCCCGGCTGCCCGAATGACACGCCTTGCAATAAGATGGTAAAAAATTGCAACTGTATGGTGTTAAAAAAAATTGCTATGAAATCGCGCGAATAATTGCAATAGGGTAGCAATAATTTTCAGTAGGAAAAATTGCAATTAAATAGCTAAAATAATTGCAATAAATTTGAGATTTCTCTTCAAAGGGAGGGGGATACATTATTGGGAACGATAATTTTCTTGAGGCGGGAGAAATATGATTAAGAAGAAGTACTTTTCTTGGGAGGGGGCACATGAAGTTCTCTCTTGAGGAAACACCTATTTTGGTCGTTGAAACCTTCCAGAGCGCAGGACTATTTTTCTTCGGAATGCTCCATTGCTACTTTCGGTACGTACTAGGTTACAATTTCGTTGCTGAAAAATCATGCACTGATCAGTTTTTACTGTACATACACCGGTTAAAAAAAATGAAAATTGATTTATGTAAAGAGGTTTCAGCACTTCTTAGACTTTTTTTTTGAAAAGACAAGCACACAAAATTACGTATGATTTCCAGAAATTCTATTTTTCCCCCAATCTCAATCCACGAAATTGTGCACAGTAAGAGTTGCGCTTAGAGAGAGGATATTCCTCCCTCAGATGGAGATAAAATAATACAGCACTATTCTTAGCAGCTCCATTTCTTAGAGAAAACTTTACGCATATTCATGAAACATGATGAGTTTGTAAATGGGGGAGGAACTTTTTTGGTTTGAAAGTGTAAAAAACATTTAAGAGGAAAATAAGAGAAAATTATGCACATAGGTACTCTTTTTGTGGGTAACACAAAAAATCTAGATGATTTCGAACTCAATACTGTCTAAATCAGAAAATAAATAAACAATAAATTCGTTCACGAACTACAAACTTGGAGATATAGGGACAAAAGAGGAGTGAAAAAAACTCTGACAGGTTTCACAAAACCAAGATAAATATTATTGAATATAATGATAATAAGCCCGGTATGACAGAAATGAAAAACTTTAAAATCTGAAATCCATCCTCGAACTTAATTCTTAAAAAAAGAGAAAAAATTAAGTTACCACACCTTATTACATTAAAGCTGGAATGTTACAGCATCTTCCTACAAATTATTAATCTATACATTACTCTTAATTCTTCATCTATTTCCTTCTGGGATGCAGCTGGGTGAGGCAAATTTCAAGATGCATTTCTTCAACTGCCATTCCAGGTGTTTTACAAGTGCATGTAGGATAGTAATCTCATTTAATGGTTAAAGGCACAGAATAAGATTATGAAACCAGAGGGAATCATCTTGCTTCAAGGGTCGTCCAGGAAGTAAATTTACTAATTCAATATCTCCTAAATTAAGCCGGACAGAGAAAATCTGCAAATAGCGTTGAGAAGCCACTCCTCTCAGCTTTCTATCATGCTACCTGCAGATTTTTAAATTTGGCATCATAGAACTCGAGGAAAATGGATTTTTCTGAATCTGTCCCCTCTCTGTGAGTGTCTTTCTCACGGAATGTAATATGCAAGTTAGTTGCAACATCAATTGTTCATCGCAAGAGAGTGACTTAAAGGTGGTTGAATTCCATGTATGACATAAGGAAACAACATCAATTGTTCATCGCAAGAGAGTGACTTAAAGGTGGTTGAATTCCATGTATGACATAAGGAAACACATTTTTTAACCAGAAAGTTGCAGGATTATTCGATAATTTATGGGTCTGGATTGCATTACATGGAAAGGTTAAGGTACATATGGTCAACTCGTAGAGTTATAACGCGGAATTGGGTTTCGGTGTGTGATTGGTGCTCTATGATTCGTTCTTTCACCAAGAAAGGTGAACACATCTGCTCAAATCCAGGATCATTTACAGTATAAGTGTTGTAAATGCTGCATTTTTTTTTCAAAATGATGCATCTTTGACGAAATATCTTTGAGAGCGAGCAGGATAATAAGAAGGCTCATAAAGGACTCAGTCAGCAAAGGAGAGTTTACACTGACAATTCGGTTACCATTTGTTCACATGCAACTGATTCCAAAGTACACATGGTCAATCCTGCCATTTCCTGACTTATAAAAGTTCTTTCTTTCATTTCAAATTATGCACACCCATCTTCAAATCACTTATTTGCCATAAGCAATAGAAACAGCAGTTCATTTGCTGATGCCGCTCTCTGAAATTTGGAACCTGTGAAGAGAGGAAGTGGACTAAGAAAAAACCACTTTTCTAGACTTTTGTAAAACCAAATTTAAAAATCTTGAGCGCGTTAGAAGGCTAAGAGTAGTGGCTTTTCAACACTTTATACAAATTTCATCTATCAATCTTAATTTAGGAGATACTGAAAACATAAACTTAGGTACTTTCTAGACAACTCTTGTACTTAAAAAGTGGATAAAATTTATTAGAAGAGGCATACAAGCTCCCCCTCCCCGGCCAAAAACGGCTGAGGCACAGATCCTCAGGATGGGAATAAAATTGAATCGTCAACATAACAAAATCAATTTAAGCCGAAGTTACTGGATTCTTCAAATAAACCACCATTTGTAAAAAGATCACCTCGGATTTAGATACAAGGCCCGGGTAATCAGTAACGCCTCCAAGCTCATAGATTGAGAGCAATTATAGATTTTGGTGAAAACTAGACATGTTCTGAAAGTAATTGTAATTAATTTCCTAACGGTCTGTTGGTTTAAAAAATTGAACAATTTTCGACGTTACAGCGTTGCCAGACGTCCGAAATGTACTTTCTTGATGTTGAAGGAAAATACTACGAATGAAAAGTTGACTCTGCCTCACTAAAATTGGACGAATTTGAGATAAACGAAAAAAGCGAAGTACGAAAAAATCAGTAGGTACATATTACACAGCATTATGTAGTGTATCAAAGACAAGGTTTTACTTATTTTTAATATGCTCCGTTGAGTTTAACGCACTTGCGCCAGTGTTCAACATGCTGTCAAATCCTATTGAAGAATAATGCACAAGGTTGATTTTGCAACTGTGGCTTCGACTTCAGCGTTTGATGAGGAATAACTGGCTTTAAGGTCTTTTCCCAGAATAGGAAAGACTCAGAAATTACACAACATTGAGTTAGGACTTTGCGGAGGATGCAAAGGAATGGTCTCCATACCTGAGCTGAACACTTTAGTAGAAGTTTGACAACTGCGAAGGGGTCAGATTTTGTCAAGTTGTAGGTAGAACTTGGTCGTCGACTTCTTCGAATCCTGGATTTTTGACGTTTTTATGTTTGCAGTATTTGTCTGAATTTACAGTTTACGGTAATCCAATATCTACTGCAGGTGTGAGATTTGACATTTACCCCTCATCAGTTATCCACGATATATTCCTTCAACAACTTAAGAGAACATGTTGAACTTTCGGTATTGTTGTAACATCAGAAATTGTCTAATTTTAAAAATTGATAAACCATTAAAAAGGTAATCAAGTCTACTTTCAGAATAAGTTTAATTCTTGCCAAAATCTATGATTGTTTTAAAGTTATGAGCTTGGAGGCGTTCCTTATTAGCTAGGCCTCTAAATCTCAACAGATGTAACTTTAACAAGGACACTGCCAATTTTAAGATCTCTGTCTTTATTGGATCCCTGTTTACCCTTTAGATTCATTAAACAGGAGCTAATGTTCTAATTTCAGGTTCCTTCAATGTATATTCATATTATTATTTGACCATTTTAGGCATCTCATTAAATATGCTAGCTCAAATTAAGTTGGCTTGAAAAAAAAAAAAAATTCTGTCAACCGCATAAGAACCGTTAAGACAGAAGGAAGGAAAAGCTTACTAAGTTGCATTGAAAAATTAATTTAAAAGAGAATTAATAAAATAACATACATCCAATAAAAACTGTAATCTAATAAGGTCACATAAGTAAAATGAGTCAAAAACCACAATACCCAATTCAGATGCAAATGTTCAAATAGACTAAAACAATACCCTTGGAGAGCACTATCCGAGTAACCTGGGTTTCCATGATTTCCCCGACGTCCAATTCCGAGACACTCACTGACTTTTTGAGCTTTTTCCTAACTTCAATCTTTCCTAATCTTCTCATTCCACCTGATCTATACTTCCACTTTAAAATATTTTGATCATCCTGACTTATGCTGAACATCGGGCAAAATTTTCACTCTGAAGATTCAAATTAAGTAAAAAGCACTCAGAAGTTGATAGAAATGTCTTTTGAATGGCAAGAGCTGACAGCTGAAGGTGCTAAGCCTATGCACTACTAAAGAAACTTTGTTACTTTTCATACAAATTCCCCGACCGTTCCTGGTAAGTGCCAAATCCTAGATTTTTTAGACCACTGGAAACCCTGGTCAACTTCTAATTATTTAAACCAAGGAGCAATAATTTATAAGTATTAAAATTAATATATATGATTGTTGGGTAGAAAAAAAACTACAGTTCTACAAATAAATACAGATACGTCAACATAAAGGATGTATTGATGGATACATACATTTAACACATAACATTGATAATATTAATTTCTAGCTATGAAAAATCCTCCTTGAACTTTTACTTTTCCCTGAACCTTTTGTTTATAATCACCTAACTGATCGGAGAGGTGTGAGATACTCTGAATAGACGCTATTAATTGTAGTGAAATGTAACTTTTTCGGGAAAATTCGTCCTGGTAAAGCTAGGGCAATACAGGCTCCAAAATATGAACTTACATCTACTGGGAGAGTAACGAAAATTTTCCACTGTAAAAATAAACATTGAGATACAACAAAACTATGCTTGGTTGAAGAAGCAAATAAAAAGTAAAGTAAAAATAATCAATAAAAAATAATAAAAATTACATTAAAAGAAACGGTATCCTTGACATGAAATTACATCAAATACGTAAGCATGCGAGCAAAACATCTTCATACTCAATCACACTGATAAAGTATTGGTCTAATATATGGGAATACATATCATGTTGAATCGATCAGGACAGGAGCATGGGTATTTTAAAATTGGAGTGTGGATAGAAAGACATTGGAACCACAAAATTAAGGGGGAAAAAATGTTGTACGCAGTGCATCCATGTGATAGATAACCAATCATGATCTTCACTTGTATTCACGCCAAAGAATGTTAGCTGTGCGTTAACCGCCCACTGATATCTAACAGCCGTTCCACAGCAGCATTTACATCACCAAATGTTGCCGTTAATGCTGGAAAATAAAACATACTAATGCATGAGGTCCTTCAAAAAGGTTCAATTCTGGGTAGCACAGTATTAAGTTCAAAATCCTACAAATAGCGAGAAAAATTGGGTTTTACTGTTTAAAGTTGTACATTTGGGTGGAAAGAACAGTCACAAAAAAGTTCCTATGAATCCGAGTTGTGTTAAACCCAAGAAGGGAGGGAGGGGGAATAGAGACTTTTTAGGTAGCGTTTCCTTTAATCCTTCATAACTCCCAATACGACTGTATATGCCTCCAGATTCTTAAATCAGTTTTTTTTATGAAACTTTATAGTCAATATTTACAAAGAATTTGGTTGAGATGGAAAAAAAAGAAGTTTTACAGGAATGCAAGAAACCGCTTGAAAGGCGCTCTGGGTGGCATAAGGAAATTCGTGAGCTTGTAACGTAATTTTTCCATGAAAAGGTATTTTTCTATAAACAGGGTTATCCAAAAGTCACCTACCACCCCTGTAACTTTTTTCCCAATTGAGCTAGAAGTTTGAAACTTTGGGAATGTTCCTCGGTTTAAGGTAGCAGCTTTTTGGTCCCCTCAAAATTTTGGGGGGCGGTCCCCCCTAAGAGGGGCGGGGGCTAACTTCTTTTTTTCAAATGGCAACCCCCCTTCTATGATACCTCATTCGAAAGATAATAAAAAAAGAAAATTTTTGGCACAAATCGCGGGTCAAAATGTTGGTTTTTGACAAAATGGCGGCCGGTCACAGTTCAAAATGGTGGAAATTTGGCATCTCCGTTTTGTATCGGCGGATTGGTCTGAAACTCAGAATTCTAGGGGTGTCCGGGACGAGAAAAACGATTCTGGCATTAGTTTTCCAGAAATGTCAGTCCTTTTTAAAATGGCGGCTTAGAGCGGGAGGTAGATATTTAGGCTACTTATCGTCGGATTTGTGTGAGACTTGGTATCCGGGGGTATTTCGGCACGAGCAGAACGAATCTTTCATTGGATTTTTGAAATTTTTAAAAACTTCAAAATGGCGGCAAAAATGCGAATGGCGATGGTGGATGCGGATTTTCCGTTATTTTTCCGCTACCATTTGGACGATATTCAGTGTTTCAAAAATCTAATGAAAGATTAATTTTTTTCGAGCCAAAAATCACCAGCGTATTGACTTATGTGCAAATCCATCGGTCAACAGCCTCGATATGGATTTTCCGTCATTTTTTCGCCGCCATTTTACAGTTTTCAAAAATTTCGAAAATCCAATGAAAGGTTCGTTCTTCTCGTGCCAAAATACCCCCGGATACCAAGTCTCATACAAATCCGACAGTAAGCAGCCTAAATATCCACCTCCCGCTCTAAGCCGCCATTTTGAAAAGGACTGTCATTTCTGGAAAACTAATGCCAGAATCGTTTTTCTCGTCCCGAAAACCCTTAGATTTCTGAGTTTCAGACCAATCCGCCGATAAAAAATGGAGATGCCAAATTTCCGCCATTATGAACTTTGATCGGCCGCCATTTTGTCAAAAATCAACGTTTTGACCTGCGGTTTGCGCCAAAAATTTTCTTTTTTAATCATCTTTCGAATGAAGTATCACAAAAGGGGGGTTGCCATTTGAAAAAAAAGTTAGCCCCCGCCCCTTTAAGGGAGCCGCCCCCCAAAATTTTTGAGGGGACCAAAAAGTTGCTACCTTAAACCGAGGAACATTCCCAAAGTTTCAAACTTCTATCGCAATGAGGGAATAAGTTACAGGGGTGGTAGAATGAGGGAATAAGTTACAGGGGTGGTAGGTGACTTTTGGATAACCCTGTATGTAGAGAAAAATGAGGGAGAAAATCCAGATAAAGCTCTGAGTTCTTTAATTTTTTTCTGTAACTGCATATTTTTGAGGTTTTTAAGAAGTGAGGAATTTTCCTGGCTAATTTCCTTCCAAACAGGCACTGAGCTTCCTTAATGTCAGTTTGCGACCGAAAACAGCCCTAAAATATGTTAAAAAGCCAAAAAAAAAAATACATTACTTTTGAAATTGTAGAGAAATTCCGTAGAAAACAGATAGGGAAAATAAGGAAAGCTGATGGGTAAGCGTGTAAAAATGTAGAAACGTGGAAGATTTCACACCCCCGCTTTTTCCTTCATGGTTTTCATGGTGTGGAAAGAGGGCTATCTTCCAATCGTCCACCTTGGATCCCGAATACGTAATGATTCCACGTGAGGGTTGTTGCGTGGATCCACGGACAGCGTGGGAGTTGTATTTGTCAACAGTATCTTAAATTCATGACACTGTGAGTGGTTTCACGGCATGTCTTGGATCTACAGCATGCCATTTGTTCACATCAGGATAGTTAATAATCAGTGCAGACTTTAAATTTTAAAACATCGTTAATGTATTAGGATTATTTTTAAATGATACCGGGTTTGTAATAAATAAATTACCATTCCATAAACTTGAAGATTAACATTGCTATGATATAAATATTTTCAGCGCTCTGCTTGCAACCAAACAATGAGTTTATGCAATGCCAGGTGACTATCACCTGACAAATTACCCATTATCTTGTCTTGCACTGATGAACTTGAATGATATTAATAATTCAATGTTTCAAATTTTTTAATTACAATGTGGACGTTTGGCAAGCTGTGAATCCATGTACTGGCTATTTCATGGATCAAGGTCCATTTCTCCAGACCCCCCACCTTTCCAAAATTAAAATTCAAGATCGACAAAGTTTTGTACTAGTTTTGTACCCAAATGTACCGCAAAGAAAAAGTTTTGTACCCATCATGTAAAGTACGTACAATTAAAACGCAGGAGGGGGGGCTGGAGAAATTAAGCCTCCCCACCTTTATAATTCTACTCTTTCTTATCGCCAAAGTGTTGTACTAGTTTTGTACCGAAATGTACCGTTCGAAAAAAGTTTTGTACCCTCACGATAGGGGAGCTACGGGGGGGGGGGTGGTCAAAGTGGGGGGAAGGCTGGAGAAATATTTTCGAAAAAACGGACTTACGTACTCGAAAACTCTCAGGATGTACACTAGGAGTTTTGTACCGAAATGTACCGTCGAAAAAGCCGCACTTTTTTTACCGTAAGGCCTCCCCCAGGGGGTACCCCCCCTCCCCATGGCCCCCTGCCCGTGGCAGTATTGAACGGGCCGTTTTCTTGCCACAGCCAAAAAACGGAGTCTTGAAAAGGTAAAGCGGCGTGTAAAAAGAACTAATCTTTGAAATTGTCGGAAACAATTGTGCATTGCGTTGCTTCAGTTGTTCTTTCGATATCCGAATAGATTTTTGAAGTCCGCCGATCCGTTCCTTCGCCAGAACCAAAATACCGGCCCCCGAGTGCGCTGATCCGGCCCCGGTTTGAATATCCTGCGCAAAAATTCCGGATCTTCGGTAGCGGCGATCTGCGACTGCGGAAGATTAGAGTTCCGGCCACGCATGAATTGGATTTTCTTCCGGGATTTCACCTATTCATTCCATGATGTTGAGAAAATCTCCTTAACAAAAACAAATTTCATTTTTCCAAAGGGGGAAATTTTATTATAGGTGCCAACATTCCCCCTATTTGTATACCGGGTGGGCCAGAAGATTCAGGACGATCGGCCATTGGAATAATAATAGTATAATAGTGTAATAGTTTAATAGGACCGACGGTGAAATTCGGTACTAAACTCGTAGTGTACTAGCCGTTCTGGGCGCGCTAAGCGCGCCCGTCACGCCTGGCCGGGGGCTACGCCCCCTGGACCCCCGGTCACTCGCTGCGCGAGTGACATTGCGAGCCGATTTTGTAGTGGTTGCAAAGAGGTTGTTCCATCCCCCATTAGATTTGGCCCCCTGTCAAATATGATCCATCTTTTCAGGAGTGATACAGTAGCATGCGAGACGTTCAAATATGGCGGTCATTTTGACTTAGGCCCCCCCAGAGAGGGGGGGGCGGGGTAGGGTGGAGCGTTTTTGGGCTTTTTTTTTATTTTGAAAATGGACATAGAAGAGTAGTTGTGAAATGGTCTAAAAGTAACGCCTGAATTTTCCTGAATTTTTTCGTCAACGTTTAGGCCTCCCGGATTGACGTTGACGTCAAAATTAGCGGAAAATCCGGGTTTTTTGACGATAACTTGGCAACAATGGCAAATACGACAAAAATGCATAGAATCAGAGTTGTTGGAAATTAAATTTCC